ATATATATATAGTATGATACATATATAGGATGATACATATATAGTATGATATATATATAGTATGATATATATAGTATATATATAGTATGATATATATAATGTGATATATATATAGTATGATACATATATAGTATGATACATATATAGTATGATATATATATAGTATGATATGTATGTAGTATGATATATATGTAGTATGATATGTATATAGTATGATATATATGTATATATATAGTATGATGCTAAATTACAAATTATATATACAATGTGATGCTACCTGAGCAATATATAGGTGTGTATGTGTATGCGCTTTTGCATAAGTAACAAATTCGAAACAAACGAGATAAAAGCGTAACCATCTAGGCGATGGTTCTACCACTGATGTTTATCTTCTTTAGGTTTCTTTTGAACCGGACGGATTTCCTAAGGAAACACCGCTTGTTTTTATAATCAGAAAAAAATGTTATTTTTTTAAGTTTATGAGTGGTTTCCCAAACAAAACCCAAAGCAGTTCCTTCAGGATCTTCTTGCCAGTGCGTAATTGGCAGCAACAGGCTAGTTTGTGAAACTAATTCTCCCAGTGTAAATACTCAGATACGCAGAAGCAAAGGAGGGAATTTGGGGCCCCCGTGGCAGGCAGTAGGGAAGATAAGTTTGGACTGTGGGTCTCGAGTACTCCCCCGGATGTAGTCTGTCGCCTAGAACCTGATTCTCAGAGCTGGACACCAAGTCCTGAGCGATCTCCAGCTAGCTCTGCAGACCCAGAAACTTTCACATCATGCTCACCAGGGACCCAGACACCTCCAGATAGCCCCAGGCTTCTGTTCCTTCTCTGGCAACCCTGTCTTCACTGATTCATTGCAGCAAAAAGAGCTCTGAACTAGAAACCAGAAACACCTGCCCTTGTTTGGTCCTTTTTCCTTTCAGTCTTGGGAAGTCAAAAAAGCTGTCAGATTCACTTTCCGAATCTTCGAATGGGCATAAAAATAGTTGCCCTGTCTACCTCTTAAGTGTAGTACTAGGGACACAATAAGATGGTGCATGTGGAAGGACTTTGAAAAAGTGAAGCACACCGGGTTTGATTACTACTTTTGTCTGCCACTTTTGTGTCTTTTTTTTTTTTAAGTTTTATTTATTTGAGTCATCTCTACACCCCACATGGGGCTCGAACCCACGACCCGGAGATCAAGAGTTGCCCACCCCTCCGACTGAGCCAGCCAGGCTCCCCTGCCACTTTTGTGTCTTGATGAATGTCCATTCCCAAGGCAGAGGGTTTTTAAACCAGAGATCTGTGGACCAAAGATTTCCTTACACATCAGTCTTGTTCCCTTCATCCTGCCCTCCCCTGCCCGGCTCCCCGTGCCTTCTCTCTCTCTGGCCCCCGCTTATGACTGTGTTTGCAGTGAGCCCGGGACACATCTGGCAGCACAGAAGGCACTCACCAGGCCACGGCCTTCCCGAGCCAGCCGAAGCAGGCTGCGGGTCTCCGTGGCGGTGCACCTTTCCTTTCTAGCTCTGCCTCTGGCAAACATCGTCTCTGCCTCTTTCCCCCCCCAGGAGTGTAGCTGTGAACAAGGCGAGGCTGAAGAGGCTGGGAATTACTCACATCCTCAATGCCGCTCATGGCACCGGCGTCTACACTGGGCCCGGATTCTACACTGGCCTGGAGATTCAGTACCTGGGTGTGGAGGTGGACGACTTTCCCGAGGTGGACATCTCCCAGCATTTCCGGAAGGCTGCCGAGTTCATCGATGAAGCCCTGCTGACCTATAGAGGTGAGGGGGGAGGGGGGAGTCTGCCTGCTCCAGGCTGCTCGAATTAATTCCGCAAGGGGGAGAGGCAACCAGGAGAGCTCATGGAAACCTCTGGGTTATCTGTCGTGTCTGGAGGCGATCTGTCTTAAGATTTTTGTCTCGTTCTAAGAAGAGGGGCAAGGAGAGGATGATCATGCACCTTATCGGTAATGACTGAGGGCCTAACAGGTGCCGGGTGCTGTCGTAGGTGCGGTGGGTGGAAGATGCAGACAAGGGTCCTGGCCTTTGAATCTCACACAGTGGTGATGGCAGAGAAGATTACAAAGAAAAATGTCCGTGACAAGCGTGAGGCAGAGAGACTAAGTAGGGCCACGTGTTGGAGTGACCGGCCAGCTCCTTGGGGAGGCTGGTAGAGAGGTCCTCTCTGAGAAGGGGCCGCTTTACAATGAGTGACAAGAAGGAGCGGGCCACTGAGAAGTCGGAAGAAGAGCATTCCCGGGCAGGGGAAAGTGCTAGCACAAAGCTCCAAAAGTGGGGTAAGCGTGGCGTGTTCAGGATCACAGGCCAGAGCGGATCGGCGTGGCGGGGAAGGGTCACAGTGGCAGGGGCCCCGACACGCAGGCAGCTGACCGCCAAGGCGCTTTGATCTGATCTGCGTTTTAGAAACCTCGCTCTCTGGGCTTGGGAGACCACAGCGGTGGGAGCCGGCAGAGTGGACAGGACCCTTCAGTGCGGACGGGCCACAGCCCATGCCGCGGGGGCGGCTGGGAGTGTCCCAAACCTGGGCTTGAGGCCAGGCTTTGCTACGCTCTCTATTCCATGGGACCTCGGGCGGTTCCGTTCTCCAGCAGAGCCTCAGTTTCCCTTGTGTATAGCACAGAGACAAAGAGACCTAATCGTCCTAAAATTGCTGTGAGGAGTAAAATTCTAAAACGCACATAAGAGCTGCAAATATGTGTATGCATATCTGTATATTTATAAATACATATCTATACATAGAAAGTTTTTATATATGTATAGGTTTTTATTAAAGTGAAATTTATGAGGGCACCTGGCCGGCCCAGTCGGTTAAGCTCTGACTTCTGCTCAGGTCACGAGCTCCCGGTTCATGAGTTCGAGCCCCACCATCGGCTCTGGGCTGACGGCTCAGAGCCCGGAGCCTGCTTCGGATTCTGTGTCTCCTTCTCTCTCTGCTCCTCCCCGGCTCACGCTCTGTCTCTCAAAAGTAAATAAACGTTAAAAAAGTGAAATTTATAAATTTTACATATATATATATATTACATACGTATGTATATATATGAAACGGTTTTCTCCTTTTTTTCAATGCTTTAAAAAAAACAACTTCTTTTTAAAAATGTATTCCTTCTGACCAATGTGATCTGAGCGTGTCTCCAAACGCCAGCGGGGAGAGGATTTCTTGGGCTGCTTGTCGCGCGCAGCGCCCTGGCGACTCCAGCGGGCGGCGCAGCGGAGATCGCGTAGACGCGGCCTCGGGCGGGCGGGCCTGGAGCAGCCCCTAGGGCCGGTGACTATCAGCGGAGCAGACGCGCAGCCCCAGAAGTGGGGCGACAGCGAGAGCCAGACGGCGGCGGGAGAAGCTGCCGGGCGCGTAGAGGGGGGGCCTGGGCGGACCGGAGCTGCGCCACCCGGGTGTCGTCGGGGCTTCGAGGAGGGCGGCGGCGCTGTGGGCCACCCTGTGGCCCGAGCGGTGCGCAGGGGGCCTGGCCCAGGCGCTGGGGACACCGGGGGGGGGGGAGCCCCGTCACCAGCAGGGGCCCGCGCCGGCACACCTGCCCCCCTGCTCTAGCATTCAGCCCTCCACGTCCCTTCCCCCTCCCCGCCCGCACCCCTGCCGGACAGGGAAAGGACCTTATCCTTACTGGGGTTGCCTCTGGGGTGGTTCCTCCTCCCGTCAGGGCCCTGACGGTTGTCACCATCCCTAGAAGTCGCCGCTGAGCCTTAGTTTCTGTGATTGCCTCCAAGATGCTTGGGAGACAGCTCTTAAGGAAGAAAGCTAACACTGGGCTGGGTGCTTCATGTAATAATCACAGTGCCCACAGCCAGAGGATGTTACTTGCATTTTACAAATGGGAAATTGAGACCCACGGAAGGTTTAGCGGCTTTGCCGCTGTGGAATAATCAAGATGAGTATCTTGGTTGCTAGTAAGTAGGACCCGTCTCAAACTACTTAACCATCGCCAAAGGCATTAATTACAATACAAGCACAAATCCAAAGAGGAGAATGTGGCCCCAGGATCCTCTGGAACAAGGACTGGACAACCTCAGGACTCTTGGTTTCCATCTTCTCTTTTTCTTCCCTACCTCAGACAGCAAGGCCGCCCGCAGGCCTGGGCACAGACTGGCTAACTTCCGGCCTCAGTCCCATTTCCAAAGTTCCCTGAGAGAGAAAAGTTGCCCGGCAGACTCTGGTCCTCTGTCTACCCTGAATTCTATCCATGGTGGCAAAGGTGGGGAGGGTGGTTTCTGGGCAAGTCCTTCTTGGTTTTCGCAGGGATGGAGAGAGGGAAAGTTCTGAGGCGAACGAGAATTATGAATCGGAAGAATACAGCACACAAGCCTACCATGTAAAGGCATACTGAGAATGGAGAGAGAACTCACTCAAGCCCAGTGCTCTCTCCACCCTTCACACTTTTACAACAGAGAGAGCACGTCGTGATGCAACCTCCCTCCCACAGCGGCCCTGCTGCTAATCAAAATGGAGGCTGCAAATTAGAAAAAGACCACCTTCCTCCAGCTGTCTTACAGCTGGAACGTTTTCATCATAACCAAACAAATCTACTTTGACTTCAACACGAAAGGCGCCCCCTGGAGTTGTGTAGGGCATAGTCTATACAGTGCTAGTGTGACCTTGACCCTAACAGAAAATGGACAATCCTGTCACCCAGGGTCTGACCCACTTAGGCTCTCCCTTCTTCCACAGGCTGCCGCTGAGGCTCCACGGAGGCATCCCAGGGTGCCAGGCACACATTCCACAGCATGGAAAAGCATGGCCCACCCAACTTTGTCTCTGCCAGACTGAGTCTAAGAGGCATTTGATTTCCCTATGAGGAAGCCTGGCTGGTTGTGCCTGAAGCGTCCTGATGTGAGCTGGCCTGGTAACTCCTTCAAAGGAAGGAAGGAGGACTGTGGTGCCGGCAGTAGCAAATGGTGGCCTGGGCAGCCAGTTAAAGGGAGGTCGTTGGTGGGGTGCCTCGGTGGTTCAGTGGGTTAAGCGTCCGGCTTCGGCTCAGGTCATGAGCTCACGGTTCGTGGGTTTGAGCCCCGCGTCAGACTCTGTGACAGCTCGGAGCCTGGAGCCTGCTTGGGATCCTGTGTCGCCCTCTCTCTCTGCCACAACCCCACTCACTCTCTCTTTCTCTCTCTCTCTCAAGAATAAACAAAACATTAAAAAATTTTTAAGAAATTCTTGAGAGAAAGAGAGACAGAGCGTGAGTGGGGGAGAAACAGAGCAGGAGAGGGACACAGAATCCAAAGCAGGCTCCGGGCTCCGAGCTGTCAGCACAGAGCCCGCCGTGGGGCTCGAACTCACAAGCCGTGAGACCATGACCTGAGCCGAAGTCGGATGCTCAACCGACTGTGCCACCCAGGAGCCCCCTAAAAGTTTTTCTTAAATAAAATAAAAAAAATAAAGGGAGGTCCTTGGCGAGAGACAGCTGAGCCTGGAGCTGGGGTGGGAGGAGATGAGAGAGTGAATCTGTAGATGCACCTTTAGCAGCTTTGATTCTGCCCACTTGCCTCCCTCTAGTGACTGCTGGCCTTTGGCAATAATGCCTTTCAGCATCACTGGGCCTCAGGTCCCTTTTCGTCTTGCCTTGGTCTCCCACCTCCTGTGTGACAGATATGGTCTTAACTGATGCAAAGACGTACTAATAAAAGTCATCCCCCTGCCCGTCCTATATCGTTAGCTAGTACTCTTCACCGACTGGACAAACATCCCCAAAGACTGTTGGCAAATAGATTGATGACAGCCTGGAAGGAAGTCTCCAGTGGCTCCAGGCTGCACTGTAAACAGCCATTAGAATAAAGGCACAGAAGGCGTGTTTGTCACGTTTATGAAGGATACAAAGCAGAAAGCGAGGCTAGGGGATAATCGATCTATTGAATGCTAGGGTCAAGACTTGGTAAAAGTTTTGGTTAGTTTATAAGAACCGGTTATATCTACCAAATACACAAATAGGAATTTGTAAAGTTAGCCTTATGCTTTAAGAATGCTACAAAAAAAAGTTTTTTAAAAAAAGCTTTACAGGTTTCAGTGGATATAAAAGATAATCTGAGTTCATTTGGGGACATAGCCATGCACACTGCAAGCTTAGATGGCATCCGTGAAGGCTCGATGCCCAGAATGAGAATGGAGAGAGGCCCACTCTGCTCTGTGTGGGCCAGTCCAAACCTGAAGTACATCTGCTACTTCCTTTTTTCTTTTTTTAATGTTTATTTTTGAGAGAGAGAGAAACAGAGCATGAGTAGAAGAGGGGCCGAGAAAGGGAGACACAGAATCCAAAGCAGGCTCCAGGCTCGGAGCTGTCAACACAGAGCCCGATGCGGGGCTCGAACCCACGAACTGGGAGATCATGACCTGAACCGAAGTCGGACTCTTAACCGACTGAGCCACCCAGGCGCCCCTATCTGCTCCATCCTGACACAGACTCTTAAGAAAAAAACTGATACAGTTTGATTTGCAAGGTTGGCTCGTATAGTAATGGGACGTGAAAAGGTGTCTGAATAATGACTGAAAAACCTAGAATCGCCAGGAAAAGAAAAAAATTAATGAAGACAATGATAGTGATCTTCTTAAGTAGTTTTTGTATAAAAGCCCCTGTTCATATAGATGTGTTCGTTATTGACCTGGATGCCCATTACAGAAAGGTATACTTTGCCCTAACATGTGAAAGAAGTTTCAAAAGAGTAGATTGATCTAAATATGGAGTGAAGGGTGTGTGTGTGTGTGTGTGTGTGTGTGTGTGTGTGTATGCAGGATACTGAGCTCCCTGTCACAGAAGGATCCAGTCTCCACTGGATGATGGATGACCCAGCCTCAGGGATTCTGTAAAGGGAATTCTCAAGTGTCTGTTATGTCTGTGGTGCTTTCCCACGCTGAGACTCCGTGTGTCTGTGATTCTTCACCTTAGCTGCACTTCTTTTCTACTTTCTCCCCACCTCCCCTACCCTTTTTTTTTAATGTTATTTATTTGTTTTGAGAGACAGAGAGCGCATGCGAGAGCATGCACAGGGGGAGGGGCACAGAGAGAGGGAGAGAGAGAATCCCAAGCTGCTTCCTCGCCATCAGCACAGAGCCCATCATGACCTGAGCCGAAATCAGGAGTCAGACGCTTAACTGACGGAGCCACCCAGGCGCCCCCCACCCCAACTCTTTTATTTCTCCTCCCTCCGATGCTCAGCTTGGCAAGAAGAAAGTAGTCGTGCACTCTAGTGTTTCAAACGCGGGGATGCTGGTTAGTTCCCTTTCCCTCCTTCTCTCTGCCCGTGTTCAGACAGTGCAGAAAACGCTTACGCGAGTGCAGGCGGCCTCCCTGCCCTCTCAGACATCCGTGATCTGGGGCAGCGATGCTCGTCCCTCACGGGACTTGAGCGCAGATGAATGCCGGGGGCAAGCAAATATATTAAATCCAGCACATCTAAACAGTTCTTTTTAACAGTCCTTTAAAAAACAAAAAACCTGGGGCACCTGGGTGGCGCAGTCGGTTAAGCGTCCGACTTCAGCCAGGTCACGATCTCGCGGTCCGTGGGTTCGAGACCCGCGTCAGGCTCTGGGCTGATGGCTCAGAGCCTGGAGCCTGTTTCTGATTCTGTGTCTCCCTCTCTCTCTGCCCCTCCCCCGTTCATGCTCTGTCTCTCTCTGTCCCAAAAATAAATAAGCGTTGAAAAAAAAAAAAAAAAACCAAAAAACCTATAAGGAAGCCACTGTGGTTACATTAGTATCTCTTGTGGTTTCTTACAGGGAAAGTCCTGGTCAGTAGCGAGATGGGCATCAGCCGGTCAGCAGTGCTGGTGGTGGCCTACCTGATGATCTTCCACAACATGGCCATCCTGGAGGCCCTGATGACTGTGCGTCAGAAGCGGGCCATCTACCCCAACGACGGCTTCCTGAAGCAGCTCCGGGAGCTCAATGAGAAGCTGATGGAGGAGAGAGAAGAAGACTCCGGCCAGGAAGGGGGGACGGATGAGGCTGAGGAGGGCGAGGACGCGGGGAGCAGCAGCAGGGCCAGGGTGGGCGCCCTCACGGTGGAGGAGGAGGACGACACCTCCAGCCACCTGAGCGGCTCCTCCCTGGGGAAGGCCAGCCAGGCCTCCAAGCCCCTCACCCTCATTGACGACGACGAGGAGGAGAAGCTGTATGAGGAGTGGAGGAAGGCGCGGGGCCTCCCCACAGCCAAGGCCCCCCCGGGGGGACACGGCAGGCGCTCAGCCTCCGGCCAAGATGGCGGGGAGCCTGAAGACGAGGACGTGGACAGGATGATCCGGGAGTGGCAGAGCCGAAATGAGAGGTACCAGGCGGAGGGGCATCAGAGGTGGGGTAGAGAGGAGGCAGAGGTGGAGGCGGGCGACGCCGAAGGCTTCGTGACGAGGCGACGCAGGCACACCCTGAGCGAGAGCAGCACTTCGGCGAGCGTCCGCAGTCGCGACATTCGGGTCCTGGAGCAGCAGCTGGAGATGAGCGGCCAGAAGCGAGGGGGCAGGCGCCGCTCGGACTCCGTGTCCACCGAGAGCACCTGGGACGTGTGGAACCAGAGGCTGCTGGAGATCGAGAGGGAAGCCTCCCGGGAGTATCACTCCAGGAGCCAGAGGGAGGCGGCGGACGCAGGCTCCGAGGCGGGGAGCAGGGTGCGAGAAGACGACGAGGAGAGCGTGTCCTCCGAGGCCAGCTCGTTCTCCAACTTCTGCAGCAGGAACAAGGACAAGCTCACCGCCCTGGAAAGGTGGAAGATCAAGAGAATCCAGTTCGGATTCCACAAGAAAGAGCTGGGGGCCGGGGACGGCAGCACCGAGCCAGGGGCGGAGGAGGCAGAGGGCGAGAGGCGTCTCTCCGACGTCGACCTGACGGCCTACCAGGCCTGGAAGCTGAAACACCAGAAGAAGGTGGGCAGCGAGAACAGGGAGGAGGTAGTGGAGCTCAGCAAGGGCGAGGACGCTGCCTCGGCCAAGAAGAGGCAGCGGAGGCTGGAGCTGCTGGAGAGGAGCAGGCAGACGTTGGAGGAGAGCCAGTCCCTGGGAAGCTGGGAGGCAGACAGCTCGGCGGCGGGCAGGAGCATCCCCCTGTCCGCCTTCTGGTCTGCGGCCCCTTCGGTCAGTGCCGGGGAGGACGCGGCATCGGTGTTCAGCACCCGGAGCCACGGCTCCCGCCCCTCTCAGGCTGGAAGCAACAGAGGGGGATGCCCGGCCTCTGCCCCTGGCCCCGCACCGCCTGACCTGCCCGTGGGGCCGGGAGACACCATTTCCATCGCCAGCATTCAGAACTGGATTGCCAGCGTGGTCAGCGAAACTCTCGCCCAGAAGCAAAACGAGGGGCTGCTGTTGTCCTGCCCGCCGTCCGTGGCGAGCGCGAAGGCGGCACCGGAGGCCAGCTGCCTGGGGGATGACCAGGTGTCCCTGCTCAGCGGACACAGCAGCTCCTCCCTGGGCGCCCGCCTGCTGCCCCGGGGCCAGCTGGGACCCGGCCCCGACTCTCAGTCCCTGCTGTCCTCCCGCACGGCGCCGGGCTCGAGGGCCGAAGGTCTTGGGAGCAAAGTCAGGGGGACCAGCAGGCCGGTCTACAGCCTCTTTGCTGACGACGTCGACCTGAAGGAGCTTGGCCGGAAGGAGAGGGAGATACAAATGGGGCTGAGGGAGAAGATGTCCGAGTACAAGCTAGAGAAGCTGGCCTCCGACAACAAACGGAGCTCCCTCTTCAAGAAGAAGAAGGTCAAGGAAGATGAGGAGGAGGATGGGGGTGACAGGGACGAGGACACCGACAGTGCCATAGGGAGCTTCCGGTACTCTTCCCGCAGCAATTCCCAAAAACCCGAGACAGACACGTCCTCCTCCCTGGCTGGCCCTGATCGCCGTGGAAGCGCTAGCAGCGTCGGCAAAGACACGGACGGCAGTATCGCTAAGTGGCTCAGCGGCCTCAGGACAGAGGAAAAGCCTCCTTCCCAGAGCGACTGGTCTGGAAGCTCCAGGGGGAAGTACACCAGATCTTCCCTGCTCCGGGAGACGGAGTCCAAGTCCTCCAGCTACAAGTTCTCCAAATCGCAGTCGGAGGAACAGGACACGTCCTCCTACCATGAGGCCAGTGGCAACTCCGTAAGGAGCACCTCACGGATCTCTTCCTCCTCTACCCGGGAGGGCAGAGAGATGCACAGATTCTCCCGGTCGATGTTCAGCGAGACCTCAAGCTCCCGGGAGGAGAGCCCGGAGCCCTACTTCTTCCGCCGGACCCCTGAGCCCTCAGAAGGGGAAGAGTCCCCGGAACCACGGCGTCGGAACTGGGCCAGGCCCAGGGACTGGGAAGACGTGGAAGAGTCGTCCAACTCAGACTTTTCTGAATTCGGAGCCAAGAGGAAATTCACCCAGAGCTTCATGAGGTCTGAGGAGGAGGGAGAGAAAGAGAGGATGGAAAGCAGAGAAGAAGGGAGGTTTGCTTCGGGGCGGCGGTCCCAGTATCGGAGAAGCACGGACGGAGAGGAAGAGAAAGAAATGGACGATGAAGCCATCATCGCTGCCTGGAGACGTCGGCAGGAAGAAACCAGGACTAAGCTGCAGAGAAGGAGGGAGGATTAAGCTGGGCCAGGCGGACCTGGGAGACTGAGAACATGGCAAGAAGCCGCGCGGCTTAGCACAGGGATCAGGACACACATTGCCACCACCCGCCAAGGGACAGGGATGTGGAAAGGATCGTCCTGAGGGGCGGAGCCTAAAAGAGAGGTACCAGGCAGCGGGGCCCCAGAGGTGCGATAGAGGGGAGGAGGAGAGCCGTCGGCGTGCGGTCTGCATGCTAGGCCACCTGGCACCGTTTTCTGTTGCCCGGCGTCCTCTTGACCTTTGACGCTTCCCTCGTGTAGTTGACAGTGTCCGTCACCTACTGGCGAGGTGAGCTCGTGATGGAACCAGAGCTTGCCAGAGACCTCGGCTTACGTCCGCGGGAGGACTGAATGCAGGACGTGGTTCTGTGTGTGGTTCTGTAACGAGACGCAGGAAATGTCTCCTGTGGCAAGTCTCCCCTCTCCTGACAAAGCTGAGTTCTGGTTGCTCCTTTTCAGTGCTTTGGCTCTCCATTAAAGTGGTATGTTGTCAAACATTTCCCCTTCCCTCTGGTCACTTTCAGCTCATTTGAACCCACCTTAAAAGACAGAGGTGGGTTATCATGAGCCAGCCTCACCTCCTTCCATAATGCTGGGACTCCAGACAAAAGCACTGTCATCACATTAAAACAGTAATCAAGTATTTCACCCATGATACAACGTAGTGGGAAGACATGAGGAGGACCCTTGAGAATAACCGTGAATTAGACCGAGACTGGGTTTTATTGCGGTCAGAGATACAGGTGGAGAGGGGGTCCCTCTGGAACAGCAGGGAAACAAAAGCAAACCACGGGGCGGGGGGTGGGAAGAAAAGAAGCCCAAGGCAAGGAGATGGAGACAGGGTTTTATGAAATCTCGTTGTCACCCTTGCTCTTCATTCCTTGGAGGATGGTTGCACAACCCAGTGGACAGCCCACTGGATCGTTCCCGCACTCTGGATGAGCTAGGTCGGTGAGAATTCTCTACCCTTTATTCCCGGAGGCACGTCTGCCTTCCCGGACACAGGTTGGGTTCCTGAATCCAGCAGACATGTTTTGAGCCCCTTATGACAAGCATTGGTGGGTTGGTTTCTACAGTTCCTTTCAACTTGCCGTACCTTGCAAGATTTGAAGATAGGCATGTGCCATGCAGGGCTCCAGGATGTCTGGACCAACGCAAAAATCCACTTCAGGAGATGCAGTTGGCAATAGGATGATTAATGAGAAGGAAGAGGGGTGGCAAGGAACCCACCAACGGGATGAATAGTAGGTGATCGCTACTCATGTGACCAGTTTTGTTTTTAACTGAGATTCATGGGATGCGGAGATTATGTAACCTTACTGTGTGGATTATTACTCAAGCATCAAACATTTCAATGGGCACACAGATAAAAACACTAAGGCAGAAGGGAGCAGACGTGAGCTCAAACTCAGAACTGCGCGTAGTTGCCGTCGAAGCAATTAATTCGCTTGCCTTCCCTCTAATCCTTCAGGCTACAGTTCAGCGGCATCTGATGATGGGCCTTTTCTCTCTGACTGAGAGGAAGAAAGAGGCCTTGGGAAAAAACACTGCTCAGTTTTTGTCCCATTTGGCCCTTTCCTTCTCCCTTTGCTCACTTAACTTCAGTGAGCCTTGGTCCCTGGTTTCCAGAGCCTGATAGAACATTCTCATCACATGAAACGACATCATCTCCATATGCCCCCAGCAAGGCACCCCTGGAAGGCTCAGTTGGTTGAGCAGCCAACTCTTGGTTTTGGCTCAGGTCGTGATCTTATGGTTCGTAGGTTCAAGCCCCGACTCACACTCTCTCCCTCTCTCTCTCAAAATAAGTAAACTTTCAAAATGGCCCCAGCAAGAAGACTAGTTGTGGCCCATTTTAGGGTATGCACATTTCACTCCTATGGGGAAGTTTCTGGCACAAGCACAATAAATTGGGAGGTCAGTCTTCTGGAGGGAACAATGAGAATGTCCCTGAGACAACAGCTGTGTTTTCCTTTTCTGATCCTCTTACCTTGAATAATCTTGGTTGTTTGTTTGTGGTTGGTGTTTTTTTTTTGGGGGGGTTCTTGTTTTTTACTTTTTAAAAAAAAGTTTATTTATTTTTGAGAGAGAGAAAGACAGAGTGTGAGCAGGAGAGGGCAGAGAGAGAGGGAGACACAGAATCCGAAGCAGGCTCCAGGCTCTGAGCCATCAGCACAGAGCCCGACACGGGGCCCGAACCCACGAGCCGTGAGATCATGACCTGAGCTGAAGTCGGACGCTTAACCGACTGAGCCACCCAGGCGCCCCTTACCTTGAATAATCTTGTGATTTGACGATAAACACTTAGAAAGCCAAGGTCAAGGATGAAGAGACCAAATGAACTGACAGGCCAGCTGAGCAGCTGCCCCCGGCACCCACCCATCCATAGGAGCGAATTAACTCAGGCCTTCACACACGTCTCTCTCTTTTTTAACATAAATGTAAAATATAAATAAGGTGATCTCAATCACCTCAAGGTAGACAATTGTTTTAAAAACATACCTAGTCACTCCCAACTCATACGCCCCTGAATGGATGTTGAACAAACATGGAAAACTCTTGGTTTCGAGAGTCACCCCCAGTCTTTCCCCAGCCTTGAGTGTGAGCCTCGGGGGACACAGACCACCTTGGCCTGCTTTTAGCTGCACTCATAGGCTAGAGGGCAACACTGGCCCCTCTGTGGAGGCGCTCAGCTCACTAGAGGATGAAACCAGAGAGGGGTGAGGTCAAGACCTGGAGAAAAGCCTTTGCTCGCTGTGTCTCCAAGGAGAGCTCCTTTAGAATCCTGTAGTCAGAGAGGTGTCTGTCTGAGAATTTAGGATTCTGAATTTAGCGGAGTCCTGGAGTCCAGACTTTATTTGGGGAAATGACACCAATAGAAACTTTATGTGATCTTTGATGGGCTTGAAGGAATAGCTGGGATTTAGAGGGTTAGGATTACAACGGTGACGTCTGCTTTAGACCAAACCCAGAATGTTAGGTGGCACTCCAGCCGTCCAGTCTCTGAATGACATTAAAAGGTATGTGTTGCCCGTCAAGGTCCCAGTAGATGGCACACCCCCATTGGAAATTGATGAGAGTTTAATGCAGGAACTATGCACAGAGGCGTGGGCAGGGGTAAGGGGACAGGAAGGAGTAGTAAAGCATCCAGGTACTAGCACTACCTGAGAAATGGATACCACCCTAGGGCTGAAGGGACCATGTGTAGGGGCTGTTTGCAGAGCCCGAAGACCCACAACCACGGGAGAAGGGCCACCCGACATCCTGGCAGAGGCGGAGAGGGAACGAATACCCTGACCTCTCTCTCTTCCTAGCATGTGGTGTCATGCTCGTAACTTTCACTGGCCAAACCTGCCTGGAATCCAGCCAGAAGGGGAGCCCAGTGTTGGAGAAGAACAAAAAAATGAAACTGAAGGGGCAAACAGAGGATAACCAGCACAGAGATGCATAGATTTCAGTGGAAAGGCCATGTCTTTGGAGCCTCCCCAATGATGTTGTTTTTTTGTTTTTTTGTTTTTTTTTTTTTCAACGTTTATTTATTTTTGGGACAGAGAGACACAGAGCATGAACGGGGGAGGGGCAGAGAGAGAGGGAGACACAGAATCGGAAACAGGCTCCAGGCTCCGAGCCATCAGCCCAGAGCCCGCCGCGGGGCTCGAACTCACGGACCGCGAGATCGTGACCTGGCTGAAGTCGGACGCTTAACCGACTGCGCCCCCCAGGCGCCCCAATGATGTTGTTTTAAAGGACTGAGAACACTATGCCTTGATCACAGGATCGATCTACTCTTAAGAATTAATTAACGATTGGGACAGCGTTTTAGCTACACAAACCCAACCAAAAGCCAGTGATTTTGTCTTACGGGAAAGAAAAGAGAAGACAAATCTGAACCGACGTCCTTTGTCGAGTCCTGAGTTGGGTAGACTTCACTAGGAGAAAACTCCCACAATAACGGGAGAATAGTATGCAGAAGGGGACCCCGCAAGAGTGGACATACTGCGCAGAATCCTGGGCTGGGAGGGTGAGAAAGAGAGAACAGATTTTTTTTTTTTTTTTGCCTCAAAGGCGAGGCCTTAGAGGGGAAATGAACACACGGAGGCTGTTGTGAAGAAACAACGTGTATCAGAAGCCTGCCGGAAGGAAACAGAAAGCCCAGATGAGGGTAATTCAAAAAGGGAGGTCCATTTACAAAGCAGTGAGCGGAGCGTAGAGGGGTAGCGTGCACCCCAGGCGTCACATCTCTAGGCTGAAGAGGCAAGAGGCTGAGCCTGAGCTGTCACGGGAGCCCTAGAGACAGGGAGGGCTGGCTGTGCGGAGGGGGCTGTCTTACAAGAGCTGATACCTTTGATCTTGGGACCCAGCCTGGCAGGGCCCCACAGGCAAGGAGCCAGAGGCGTTCAGCCTCCAGTCTCCTGCCGGTCCCCCCACAAACCAAAAGCCAGAGGCAAGAGAGTCGGTGCGTATAGGGCATCCGATCAGCCTCGTGGGCACAGAGGAGGGTGAGGAGGGTGGGGTGGGGAAGATTCCAACAGCGGTGCTGCTGGGCCAGTGCACCAGCTGCCCTGTGACACAGTGGTGACGCTGGATTATGAAGGCTCTGCTGTGGGTGTTAGGAATGTTACAGAAGAGGGATGTGAATTTCTCTGGCCTCTCTGAAATTTTCACCCCTGGGGTGGCGTGGGAGAATTGGTCGCCAATGACAAATTAGTCCAGGCTCAGTAGTGTGCCGGGTCTATCAGGAGAGCATCCCCTAAAGCTTGAAACCTCACAGGTTTGACACCTGTGACACCTGGTCTGACACTTGCCTGTCTGCCTCTACCCGGGCCAAGTAACCCCACCCACCGCATTTGCCCTCTTCCTTCTGTGACCGTCTCCACTCCCCAAACCAGGCCTCCTTTATCCACCACCTGGCTTTGGCAACTGCCAAAGGTCCTAACCAGGTCCAGACTCCTCTCTTTTCTGTCTAGCCTAGAACCAAACTAATCTTCCCAGGGTCCATAATTCTGGTTCTTTGTATTCCTCTGCTTAAAAACGACAGTGCTCCCTCCGGCCTGTGTGACGAAACTTAAATTTCCTCCCTTGGCCATCACGGGCCACCTCACCCTCCATTTCCAGGCCTATTAGGATTATTGTGAGGTTATGATTAAATCAGATACTATTTGGACATACCTAGACAGGCGATGGCACGCTGTAGAATTTAGCAAGTTGTACGCTGTTGTGTGTAATTCTATAACGATAATGTGACCACTGTTAGAATTATTATAGACACGACGTGGTGAAGTGGGTTAAGAACACAGCTTTGGAATCTAATGGGAAAACAGCTGATACTTTACTAAGTGTTTACGGTGCTCCGGGCATGCCAAAAGCTTTAGCATGGATTATCTACTCCTTCTCTTCAAAATCGCACCCTTTACTTTTTTACTTCGCTTCGTTGAAGTACATGATGGACTAAACACAATGAGAGGCACTGGCGATTCAGGAGCTATCAAGACACGGG